GAGATTCTCAAATGATACTGTTTTCTCATTCTACATGCAGGCAGAAGTGTATGACTGCAAAAATTAACAAAAGGAGAGTCTTTTTGTAATTAGTAGAAAAAAACTAAATTAAAGGTAAGGATTTCCCCCAACTTTGGTCTACCCTGTAAAAGCTCCTTTTTAACTTTTTGGTCCCTTCTAAATTAGAATACAGTATCTAACACAGAGAGAAGACATATATTAAACTTCATGGTGTTCTTCATGGTGTTCTATAAGCACAGTAACTTCCAGGTTGTGTACCATCTGAAATTATATCCTGAGTCTTGACAGACATAGAATGGCTTAAGTGACACCTAACACTCCCTTCAAAATCTATCATAGTCTGAGAATAACAATTCAACAAGTATGTGATAGCTTCAAGCTTGGCAGTATGACTGACACTAATATAAGTGGGATAAAAATAGTATAATAAGTGCTAACAGAGCTCAGAAAAGAGATCAAGAAGGTGGGATTCCAGATGGCCCTAAGTATAACTGGAATTTCCACAGTGGAGGAACAGAATCTCAGGAAGATAAGAGCATGACAAAGACACAGAAGCAATGCCCACAACATAGGGAGAAAATAAATGCCTGTAGATGACCTGGAACCAGTGATCATGTAAGGAAATAGTAGGAGATAACTCTAGAAAGATAGGTTGAGGCTAGACTGTGAGATTCTGAATGCCAGTCTAAGAAATTCAGACCTTTTCAGAAAGCAATTCTAATTATCTTTGAAACAAAAAGGCAATTTAATTATTCAACTGATGAATTTTTTTAGGACATATGATGTCGTTTTTGGATTTTTTTTGCCCACTTTTATAGGTAATGTATTTCTCCTCGGCACTCGTACAAAAAATCATCTTACTAAGGTTAGATACAAAGCATGGCAATTTAACTGATGATTACAGAAAACTCTATTTTAGCTGCAAGAATGGCTGTTTTATTCTTTCTCCAGCTCCTATTTATTTTTCCTTCTTGATGTTTGATTTTCAAATATTCAACCATACAATTTTTAACTTTTGTCACATTTTCCTTTACTACTCTATGTTAGACATTCTCTAGGACTGCTTCCAGCTTTTAACCTACTCCCTCTGACCCCTACCCACCTAAGGGCAATGTTTATTTATACCCGAGAGTAATAAAAATGACAAACCAGAATCATATTTCTTTGTTTTGCCATCGAACAAAATATAATAACTATAGCCGAAAAGATGGAGTAATAGATAGGGCTTTGGGGGCTGAATAAAACTGTCTACTCCTACAAATTATGTGTAAGTGCAGCATCAAAAGTGCACGGCCTCTGAAGAAAGATTAAAGACTGCCCAGGTGTGAATATTGGGTGTGCCACTAACAGGCTTTGTGACCTTGGGAGAGTTACTTAAACCTCTCCTCATCTCATTTCTCTTGTTTGCAAAAAAGGAAATAACAATGTAATACCTATTAGGGTGTTGTGAAGATGATATGACTTGATATATGTAAAGCTCTGAGAACAGTGCTTGGCACATGGTAAATGGTATGTGTTAGCCATTTAATCCACAATAGAGTAAGCTTCACAAAAGCAAGAGTTACAGTCTGCTTTGTTTACTGAATGTCTATGGCTAAAATCATGTTTGGTACATAACAGGTGCACAATAAGTATTTGCTGAATGAATGAATGCGTAAGAAATACTTTGCTGGTAACAGTAAGAGAAACAGAAGAGACTATTTAAAAGAGAAAAACAGAGAGAATTAAATGTCTTGCTCCTCCCTTACTTTTTCAAAAGATGTCCTCCCCCACAGACTTTCTCTTAATTGTGTTGAGTGTTATTAATTGTACTTTCTCTTAACAATGTTCAGTTATAATATCAGCATTCATTGAGGGAGATTTTCAGAAACAGCTGTATGAAAGTCTTTGCTGTATTTGTTTCCAAGGTTAGGAGACCGCCCTTACAACCCCACTACTCAAAGTGTGGTCCTCTGACCAGCAGCACCAGCAGCACCTGGGTCCTTGTTAAAAGGAAAATCAGCAGACTCACACAAGACTGACTGAATCAGCTTTTCGATTTAAAAAAAGATCACCAGGTGAAGAGCATGCACATTAAAATTTGAGACGTAAGCTCTAGATCACTCTAGTTAAAGAGAACAGGCTTTATGAGGATCAGGGTTCAAATCTAGGCTCTGACACTTTATTATCTATATGACTTGGGGCAAGTTTATAAACTTCTCAATAGCTTCATCTGTAAAACTGAAACAACAATAGTGGTTATCTCAAAGAGTTGCTATGAAGATTAAATGAAAATGAACAAGCCTCATTTGGTAGACTACAAAGAAACAGGATAAGCCCAACAAATGTTAGCTGCTCTTACTGTTGAAATCCCCACTCCTCTAAGGCCCCACAGTGAAATTTTAGAATTAAACACTAGGAAGAACTTTACTCAGCAAATTGTTTGCTTAGTTTTTCTTTCTGATTAAAACTACACAACGAGTCTGCCTTCAAGATCAGTGTCAAATTTAAGTTCACCTAACAGGAATAATTGTCTCTTAAATTACTATTATCTTGCTCTCTTTTTCCAATTTATATTCTCTATGGTCTTGATTTTCACTGTGTATGAGAATAAGCAAATACACAAATGAATGACCAACCCGAATGACCAAATAAACAAACAATATTAAGTCTAAACTCAACTAATCCTTAGGGAATGCTACTAAAAAAATCTGGAAATTCATTAGGGGGTACAGACTACTTTAAAATTATTAAGCTTTACTGAAGTAACCTACAAATTGAATTATTTAGAAAAGAATTTTTCAAATCAGAAATATGGCTTACGAATAAAACCACCACAGATTTTGAAATCATATAAACACTGGTCAAAGGAGGACAATAATCAGGAGTTTTCCTAAAAACAATGCTTAATATGTAGGAACATTATATCCTACATTAAAAGGCACAATTACTTGTTTTCAAGCAATGCTTGCAGCTAGGGAATGACTTTATGGAAGGTTTCCTCAAAGTAGCAAATGAGGTAAGAACATACTGCCTTAGGGTTCTAACAGAAACAGCAGAGGAAAACTAAAAGCAAAGGAAGAAAGCATGATAAGGAGAGTAAATCCCTTCCCTTGTCATTAAAAGGTATGTCATCAACAAAAAGTATTAACTGAAAACAACGTCAGACAAAATTTCACTTGGTTTCTTTCCTTCTAGAAAGGTTAGGATTTGATCTGCTTAGTCAACCAAATTAAAAAACTCAGCTAGGAAATAAGGTTTAATAATTGTTAATTAGTGTAGACTTAAGAGTTTGCTAAGTACAACCAAAAAACAAAACAAAAAGCTCAATTAAAAAATGGGTAAAAAACCTGAATAAATATTTTTCCAAAGAAGACATACAAATGGCTAATAAATACATAAAAAGGTATTCAATATCACTGGTCATTATGCAAACGCAAATCAAAACCACACTGAGATACTATCTCACATCCATCAGAATGGCTATCATTAAAAATAAAACAAAACAAAAACAAAAACCAGAAAATAACAAGTAATGGGTAGGATGCAAAGAAAGTGGAATACCTATGCATTACTGGTGGGAATGTAAAATGGTGCAGCAGCTACGGAAAACAGTATGCTGCATCCTCAAAAAATTAAAAATAGAACAACCATATGATCCAGCAATTCCATTTCTGGGTATATACTCAAAAAAAATGCAAGTAGTGACTCCAACAGATATTTGAACACCCACGATCACAGCAGCATTATTCACAATAGCCAAAAGTTGGAAGAAACCCAAGTGTCCACTGACAGGTGAACAGATAAACAAAACGAGTTGTATATATACAATGGGATATTATTCAGCCTTAAGAAGGAAGGAAATTCTGGCATATGCTCCAACACGGATGGACACTGAAGACACTATGCTCAGTGAAATAAGCCATCACAAATGAACAAATATTGTATGATTTCTCAGATATAAGGTTCCCAGAGTTAGTCAAATTCATAGAGACAGAAAGTAGAATGGTGAGTGCCAGGGGCTAGTAGGAGGGGAAAATGTTGAGTTAGTATTTAGTGGGTACAGAGTTGTAGTTGAGCAAGATGACTCTAGAGATGGATGATGGTGATGGTTGTACAACAATGTAAATGTACTTAATGCCACAGAATTGTACTTAAAAATAATAAATTTTATGTTATGTATATTTTACCACAATAAGAAAATTGTTTGCCAAGTATCTTTGCATTCTTAAATTAGTAAAAGATACTATATTTTGATGATCTGAAAATTTTTTATTTAAATTTTTTTTTTTTTTTAGAAGATCAGCCTTGAGCTAACTACTGCCAATCCTCCTCTTTTTGCTGAGGAAGACTGGTCCTGAGCTAACATCCATGCCCATCTTCCTCTACTTTATATGTGGGACGCCTACCACAGCACGGCTTGCCAAGCGGTGCCCTGTCTGCACCCAAGATCCAAACTGGCAAATCGTGGGCCACCAAAGCGGAATGTGTGCACTTAACCACTGTGCCACCGGGATGGCCCCTATTTAAATTTTTTAATGTTTAATATACAAGAGCAAAGTACTCAATGGTTTCTTGCTACTGCTGCTCTTTCTTTTTGTGAGGAAGATTGGCCGTGAGCTAACATCTGTTGCAACTCTTCCTCTTTTTCTGCTTGAGGAAGATTAGCCAAGAGCTAACATCTGTGCCAATCTTTCTCTATTTTGCATGTGGGTTGCTGCCTCAGCATGGCTGGCCAATGGTGTAGGTCTGCACCCAGAATCTGAACCTGTGAACCCGGGCCGCCAAAGCAGAACGTGCCGAACTCAATCACTACACCATGGGGCCAGCCCACCATTGCTTCTTTTTTTTCATTAAATAAAAGAAAAATCAATCTCCCTTTACCGGAATGCTTCCAATTTTTCAAGTTGAGAGAATTCCAATTTATATAGTTGGGAAGAGGAATGGAAGAAGAGAGAAGAAATTACAAAACAAAGTAAAACAAAACACACAAAAAAAACCTTGTTTAGGTGTTTCTTCCTCCTTTTTATTCTCCTCATCCTCCAAGCTGGGACTTTCCCGGGAAGAGCTGTCCTGTTGGCTAGAATTTTTCAATAGGACAGGATCGATTTGTGCTTTCAGGAGGGCAAGAGTCTCAGCCAACTCGTTTCGATTTCTAAACAAGGGAAAAAATAAGACAGCATAAAAATCTTTCTTCTGTTCTAAGAGCTTTCAGAATAACACCTATTAGAAATTAAAATTAAAAAAACACATTACAACATCCAAAACACTGGTACAGCTAACCCTAATTAATCTTGAATTTTAAAATTAAGTATTAGGAATGAATACATATTAAAATACACTATTCTCCAAAGAGGTATCTTAGACTATTCCCTCTATTAATTAGAATGGCAATGCAAATGTCTTTGGCTGAAAAGAAAGGTAAGAACAAACAAACAAAAATCAAAGTTTGAGAATATTTTAAAGTACTATGCAACCTCTAAGGAGTATAAAATCAATGTAAAATTTGCTTGAAGAAGCATTTTTTTAACCAAATAATTCAAGTTCTTGATTCATCTGGATATAAGAATGCTTTTCCACTTACAGAGAGAATAACATTTGATATTGTTATAAAATTATGATGCAGATCTTTCTGAGTAATTATGGCAAAAAGTCAGTTCTAATAACACAGTTCAAACACCAAAGAATTTAGGTTACTAATGCTGTTTCATCAATTATAATTTACAACTGCAGGAAGGGAATTCAATTTGAATTAAAAATTCAAGAAAATCCCCAATAAATAAGATTCTACTCTATAAATTCTCTATTTTTACTAACAAAACCAGTGTTATGGTCAATTTAAATGCCACTTAAAAGTAAGAAAATTCACTTGGATATTTGTCCTGCTCAGATAAGCTGTGTGAAATGGTGACAATACACAGGAAACTCTGGACTGTGAGTTGGGAAAGTTAGTTCTAGACCCACCACTACGTTAACTGATCAGCACCATGATCTTCCCGTGTTCTCAAAGCACGGTGCACGCACTTCTACTTCTATGTAGTTAGTATTAAGCTGAAATCACTTGCTTTCTATCTGTTATGCCACATACGCTCTCTATCCTCCTTTCCCTTTCCACCTCCATCCCAGCTAAACTCTATTGCTTGAGAGCAGGGACACTGCCTTATGAAGCAGGCTCTAAAAAAAATATGTAACGAGGGGCCAACCCCGTGGCCGAGCGGTTAAGTTCGCACACTCCGCTTCAGCAGCCCAGGGTTTCCCTGGTTCGGATCCTGGGCACCGACATGGCACCACTCATCAAACCATGCTGAGGCGGCGTCCCACATGCCACAACTGGAAGGACCCACAACTTAAAATAGACAACTATGTCACCGGGGGGCTTTGGGGAGAAAAAGGAAAAGTAAAAATCTTTAAAAAAAATTGTTTAAAAAAATATATATATAATGAATAAATAGAATCCTTGTCCCTAAACTAGATGGTTACATGGCCCTGGACAGGTCATATATCTTCATCTATAAAAGATCGGATTCTTTGAGTATTATTAAATTGCCCTCCTAAGGAAAGTAATAAAATCGCCACTGATGGACATCTTTCAGAAATTAAAATGACAATAGTTTTATCTTTGTGTATGGGAATGAATACACAGGTTTATATATATTATAAATATCATATGAGAACACATAATAAAATGAACAATTTAGAATTTATTTATTTAATAATAGAAGGTTAGATTAGATGCTCTTTCAAGATCCTGTCTGGTACTGCCTCCACTTTACAAAAAGGAAAATTAAAACTCACAGATGTTAAATAAAGTTTTGGCAAAGTTCCTATCTCCTAACTTCATAACACCAACCTGCTTCTAACCTAAGGCTCTATCTACTTAACGTTATTACTTCTCATATTTCATGGAGAATTTCATATGTAATAAGTGCTTTAACATATTGTTATCTTTGAAGTCATGCTGGGAACTGAAGAATATATTGAAGCTTTTCACTACACCTATTTTAAAAAAACTTCCAACCATTAGAAGAGAGCCAATAGTGCTCAATTATTGTCAATAGTGTCAATTATTTCTACTACTCTAAGCAACCAAGGAGTTTGGCAGAAAAATTTATTAAAGAACTCTCTAGAAGGCTTTTAACCTGACTACTGTGTTAAAACACAAGCCTAAGGTAGTTATTATATAAAGAGAGAAAACTACCCATCTTTGGATTTCTATTTTGATCTAACAATTAGATTTAGTATTCTAAATAATTTTTTTAGATCCTACTTTTGAACTAGTCAGAGGGAATTTTTATAAACATACATATATTCAAATTATACCCAAATTTCTTACCACTATCTACAGGACCTTTTAGAGTAGACTATGACTCTAACAACAATTCAGTTGCTTTGCCCTCCCTCCCTCCACTGCTTTCTTTTCCCTAAAACATTTCCTCATTCAGGCATATTGAATCAGATGTATTTCTCCAAAATATCCTGCTGTCTTAGGATGTCAGGTGTTTGCACTTCTGTTTTCTTAACCTGGAATGTGTTCCCCACAGCTAAGTCCAATTACTCTTTCAAAGACAAGCACAGAATGGATAAATAATGTGGTATATCCATAAAGGGAATATTATGAACCATAAAAAGAAGTGAAATATTGATTCTTACTACATAGATGAACCTTGAAAACATTATGCTATCTGAAAGAAGCCAGACACAAGGGCCACATATTGTATGATTCTATGTATATGAAATGTCTTGAAGAGGCAAATTAAAGAAACAGAAAGTAGACTGATGGCTGACATGGGCTAGGCAAAGGGAGAAGTGTGAATAACTGCTAATGTACAGGGTACAGGCTTTCTTCATGGGGTGCAGAAAATGTCCTGGAGTCAGACAGTGGTGATGATTACACAACTTTGTGAATATACTAAAAACCACTTAACTGTATTAAAATAAAGTGATGATGGCTTGGACAAGAATGTGGCTATGAAGGGGATGAGGGATGATCAAACACACTGGATATATTTTGCACAGACAGCTGATTGGATTTGCTGACGGACTGGACATGAAGTGACAGAAAAAGAAAAGTCAAGGATGTGCCTCCAAGGTTTTGGATCCAAGTAACTGAAAAGGATGTGGCTGCTCAACTGAGACAGGACAAACACGTTGAGGTGGGAAAAGTTACAAGCTCAGTTTTGGGCAGATTGACTGATTTTGACTTAACATATCTTAAAAGATTACAAACTCTTGTATTTTCCTTTCTGTACCCAAAGTTAATCTAGACTTTGGTGAAATGGAGCATATCATCCTAATTTATTATTGCAGAATATGCTTCTTCCTAGTCTAGGGGTTGTTTAGAATTTGAGATAGTGATTAAACCTTTCAGAAGCAATTGAGCTGATAGTCCAATTCAATAAAAAACAACAAAAATGGGGCTGGCCCTGTGGCTCAGTGGTTGAGTTCACGCGCTCCACTTTGGCAGCCCAAGGTTTCACTGGTTCGCATCCTGGGCATGGACATGGCACCGCTCATCAGCCATGCTGAAGCAGCACCCCACATAGCACAACCAGAGGCACTCACAACTAGAATATACAACTATGTACTGGGGGCTTCGGGGAGAAGGAGAAAAAAAACCAAAACAGACAAAACAAAAACAAAGCCAAGCACAGGTATCATCTAATGCCAAGTATAGGTTAGGTACCTGGTTGGTCAATGAAAACTGTACACACTATTCAGAATTCAGTTTTGTTTTGTTTGGCGAGGAAAATTGGCCCTGAGCTAACATCTGTGCCAGTCTTCCTCTATTCTCTACGTGGGATGCCACCACAGTGTGGCTTAATAAGCATTGTGTAGCACTGCACCTGGGCTCCAAACCTGTGAAACCCCAGGCTGCCAAAGTGGAGCACACAACCTTAACCACTATGCAACTGGGCTGACTCCAGAATTCAGTTTTTAGAAAGTGATTGTCAAACCATTACCAATTCTTAAAATATTTTAATTGAGGTATAATTTATATATTTTGAAATAAAAAGAAGATCTTAAGTGTTCAGTTTATCAGTTTTGACAAATGCATACATCTGTGTAATCCACATCTCTAACAAGATAAAGAACATTACCATCACCACAGAAAATTCCCTCCTGCCCTATCCTACTCAATTCCTCTCCTCCACCCAAAGCCAGAAAGAATCAGAACTTGGATGATTGTAACTAGAGATCAGTTTAGTTAACTCCAGAACGTCTTAACAAATGGAATCAAATGATAGGTACTTTCTGGCTTCTTTCACATTATGCTTTTGAGACAAATTCATACAGTTGCATGCATCATGTCATTTCTTTTTACTCCTTAGTAGTAATCCATGTATGAGGACTATTATGAATAAAGATGCTATGAACATTACTATACAAGGCTTTTTGTAAACATGTGTTTTCCTTTCTCTAAGATAAACATCTAGGAGTGAAATCGCTGGGTTATGGGATAACAGTTTGTTTAACATTTGAAGAAACTGCCAAACTGTCTTCCAAAGTGGTTATACCATCTTACATTCCCACCAGCAAGGTGTAAAAATTCCAGTGGGTCTACATTCTTGCTAACACGTGGTGATGTAAGTCATTTCATTTTATTCATTCTAGTGGAAGTAAAGTGGTATCTCATTATGGTTTAAATCGGGAATTCTCTGAGGAACAATGATGTCAAACACTTTTTCATGTGAATATTGGCTGTATGTATATACTCTTTAAAGTAACTATTTAACAGTCTGCATAAGACTTTATCCTCCTTAGCCAACTTGGTATAAAAGCACTTTCAGGAGGCCCTCTCTGATCTTGAAGAATAAGCTAACAGAGTTTGGTCTAAGATTTGCAAAAATTTTCTCATCATTAATAACCAAATACTATCACTTTGTGGGGTTCATATTTTTTGCTTATCTTTTTCACTCCTCAAGAAATTCTCTAGACATACCCCCTAGTGTAAATTAATAGCATTTATAACATGTTATTTGATCAGATGTTAAGAAATATTTTTCTGTACTTTCATCCTCTTTCATTGAGGCCTAAAGTAGAGACAAAATAATGGTGACAAATACTATCCCTCCACAGCAATTCTGTTTTGAACATTAATTGGAAGAAGTGGGACACTGACTACAGCTTATATATTTTTGTTTTTGAAATCTATTATAATTCTTGGTTAAACCATAAAAACATGCCACTTTTGTAGCTTAAAATGTTCAAATGTTGGCAATTTCATGTGATTCAGTGAAACTGAACCACTTTTACTCTTTTCTAAGTAACTTACTAAATCCCGTTGTTTAAACTTAAAATATAATTCTTTATATATCAGTCAACTACCATATATCCATGTCATATATACTTATATTATGAATTTTACAACAAATGGAAATTGCTACTTGGAAGTTTTAAGACTATGATGATGTTATGGTATTAATTTTTTTTTAAGATTTTTTTTTTTAGACCAGTTTTAGGTTCACAGCAAAACTGAGAGGAAGGTACAGAGATTTCTGAAATACTTCCTACCACTGAACAGGCACAGCTTCCCTCATTAACAACATCCCCACTGAAGAGGTATATTTGTTGAAATCTTGAACCTACTCTGACACATAATTACCACCCAGAGTCCATATACATTAGAGTTCAGTCTTGGTGTTGTACATTCTATGGATTTGGACAAATACATACTGGCTTGTATCCCTCATTATGGTATTATACAGAGTAGTTTCACTGCCCTAAAAATCCTCTGTACTTCACTGATTCATCCCTCCCTCCCCTCTAAACCCTGATAACCCCTAATCTTTTTACTATCTCCATAGTTCTGCCTTTTTCAGAATGTCATATAATTGAAATCATAGAGTTCATTTCAGACTGCCTTCTTTCACTTATTAATATGATTTAAGCTTCCTTCATGTCTTTTCATGGTTTGACAGCTCATTTCTTTTTAGTGCTGAATAATATTCCATTGTCTGGATGCACCACAGTTTATCCATTTATCTACTGAAGGATATCTTGATTGCTTCCAAGTTTTGGCAAGTATGAATAAAGCTGCCATAAACATCCTTGTGCAAGTTTGTGTGGAGATAGTCTTCAATCCTCTGGGCAAATACCAAAGAGTATGACTGCTGGATCATATGGTAATGATTAACTGTAAGAAACCACCAAACTGTCTTCCAAAGTGGCTGTGCCATTTTGCACTCCCACCAGCAATGAATGAGAGTTCCTATTGCTCCAGAATTTTGTGGTGTCAGTGTTCTAGATTTTGGCCATTCTAATAGGTGTGTAGCAGTATTTTAAGGTAGTTTTAATTTACATTTCCCTGATGACATATGATGTGGAGAATTTTTTCATGCGCTCATATGCCATCTGTATATCTTCTTTGGCAAGGTGTCTGTTAAAGTCTTTAAGCCATTTTTTAATCAGGTTGGTTGTTTTCTTATTGTTTTGTTGTAGTTGTTGTTGTTGTTGAGGAAGACTGGCCCTGAGCTAACTTCACTTTATATGTGGGATGCCTGCCATAGCATGGCTTGATAAGTGGTGCATAGGTCCATGTCCAGGATCTGAACCTGCAAACCTCAGGCTGCTGAAGCAGAGTATGCAAACTTCACCACTACACCACCGAGTTGGCCCCTCTTACTGTTAAATTTTAAGAGTTTTTTGTATATTTTGGATAATAGTCCTTTATCAGATATGTCTTTTGTAAATATTTTCTCCCAGTCTGCAGCTTAGCTTTTCATTATATTGACAGCATCTTTCACAGAGCAGAAATTTTTAAATTTAATTAAGCTAAGCTTATCAATTCTTTCTTTCATGGATTGTGCCTTTGGTGTTGTATCAAAAATTATCACCAAAACAAGGTCATCTAGATTTTCTTGTGTGTTACCTTCTTGGAGTTTTATAGTTTTGCATTTTACATGTAGGTCAGTGATCCATTTTGAGTTAATTTTTCTAAAGTTGTAAGGTCTGTGACTAGATTCAATTTTTTGCATGTGGATGTCCAGTTGTTCCAGCACCATTTGTAAAGATTATCTTTTTCCCCACCATATTGCCTTTGCTGCTTTGTCAAAGATCAGTTGACCATATTTATGTGGGTCTACTTCAGGGCTCCCTATTCTAGTCCATCAATCTATTTGTCTATTCTTTCGCCAATATACCACTTTCTTAATTACTGTAGCTTTACAGTATGTTGTGAAGTCAGGTAGTGTCAGTCCTCCAACTTTGTTCTTCTCCTTCAATGCTGTGTTGGCTATTCTGGTTCTTTTGCCTCCATGTATAAATTTTGGAATCAGTTGGTCAATAGACAGAAAATAATTTGCTGGGATTTTGATTGGGATTGCACTGAATCTATAGATTAAGCTGAGAAGAAATGACATGTTGACAATATTAAGTGTTCCTATCCATGAACGTGGAATCTCTCTCCACTTAGTTCCTCTTTGATTTCTTTCATCAGAGTTTTGTAGTTTTCCTCATATAGATTTACTCATATTTTGTTAATTTATATCTATGTATTTCAATTTTGAAGGAGCTAATGTAAATGGTATTGTGTTTTAATTTCAGATTCCAACACACATGTTCATTGATGGCATATAGGAAAGCAACTGACATCTGTGTATTAAACCTTGCATCCTGCAACCCTGCTATAATCACTTATTAGTTTCAGGAGGTTTTTTTGTTGAGCCATTCTTTCAGATTCTCTACATAGACAATCATGTCATTTGTAAACAAGGACAGCTGTATTTCTTCCTTCCCAATCTGTATATCTCTTATTTCCTTTTCCTGTCTTATTGCATGGGCTAGGACTTCTGGGAATGTTAGTGTGATAATCAGGTGTTTAGAATTTGGCTTTAATTACCTGACATCAGAGTCAATAAACCCAATGGTTTCTTATAGGTACCAAATATACATATTTGGGAAAAGTTGCCTGGCATATTTGCAGATAGGAATACATATATTCAGAGATATTCTTCAAAAAGGTTAAAAATAACCTGGCATCAGTTCTCTAAAGAAATTTGTGGTTGTTAATATGAGAAAACTGTGTTCAAGCATTCTATTTAAGCACTTGCTTCTGAACAAGTGCCACATACACCATTTTATGTTTATCATAAAGAGATTTTCATACACGAAAAGAAGATTTAAAAAAATGAAAGGCAGAAGCACAGAAAATAAAACCTGGGAGAATGGTCAAGGATGAGAACAGGTGAAAGCAACATCAATGGAATTTCATCTTTTCCTTTCTACTGATAAATATTTCTTCTATGAAGAAACTAAGTTTCAGTCTTTGGGGTTAGAAATGTAAGAAAAGCTGGCAGTTAAACCAGCTGGGAGAAAAGCAACAAATTTTTATTGACCATGTAGTATGGTCCTAGTATGATTTCTCATACATTCTTCACAACAACTCTACTGGTCAAGTACTACCTTCCTCATTTTAAAGTGCAGGAAAGAGAATATCGGAGACAGTTCAAGCTGTTAACTTGAAAATCTATGCTCTTTCTCTCACATCATACATTAGGATATGATCTACTTAAAACAGTGTACTTTAGAAATTGTTTTAAGCAGATACGACTGATCAAAATAATCACCATTATTTTCCTCTGTCACACGTTCTTCATCTACAAAGTGGGAGAGAATATCTTTTAAACAACTACATAAGATTTGTATAGGAAATAGTAGAAGTGGTGGTAAAACATCACGAATAGAACCTTATTCGATGCATGTATTCATACAGATGGTGAGTAAATTTTATTTCAGGACCACTTTGTTTATCTCCATTTAGTAAATTAACTACATGGAAAACCGTATTATAGTAAAGTTTTATAGCACATGAAAGAATCCCCCATGAGCTCATTCAATTTACGTTTATTCTTAAGGATGAAAGTTGAGCTTCCCTGATCCAAAAAGATATTCCAAATTTCTATGGATTTTCTCTCTTCAAAATCTTAATAATCACTAACAAAAATCTGCTAAAATCCAAAATGAGTGAAAACAGAAATGAGTTAAAGTCAAATGAGTTTTTCATAAACCAGTGGTTATATATCCATTATCTCTCCCTACTTTAGTTATAGATCCACTGATATTTTCAAAATTAATATAAACTGTAGGTATAAATAGAATAAATTCTAAATAATTAAGTTGTAAAGACAGAAAATTAGAGACACAAAGATTCTGAATAACAGTCTCAGTGTTACTTATTGATTAAAAAATGTATTTCACAAGTTTACATTAAATGTTTCTGTTCAAATGTATTTGTCAACATAAATAAGAAATCATGATTTTAAAAAAAGGATTATGGTAAAAGTTACTAAAGTAGCAAGGTGAATTGGCCAAATTAAAATAATTAGGAATATATAATGTCTAATAGGAAACAATAGTTAAATAAGAACTAAACAATACGTTTCTTGTATTTTTGTCTAACAATGTATTTTTCTGTGCCTATTATCTGTACATTATTATTTGTCAGATTCTGGCTTCCTAAAATACAAGCTATATGATCTGATATGGACCACAATGCTAAATATATTTATTTATTTGACAAATAATTCACTAAGTGCCCATAATGGATATTGTGCTGGGCACTAGGCTAGGTCCTGGAAATTCCCCAACCTCAAAAAAAGAGGCACCACTCCAGCTGCAGAGATTATATTCTGGCAGAGAAGAGAACAAAGTTAAGAAACACGCAAATAAACGTGAAAAGATTCCAACAAAAGATACCTGACAATGCATTTCCATGAAGAGCCATCTTGATCATCTTGTTCTTCTATGTACATTCTGACATTGTGATCTTGATCCAACTGGTACCAGTACATGAGGCCATCTTTGTCTCGGCCAATTGGCTGGAGACGCATGGTGTCGGCATCCTCCTCATTGATAATATTCTTGAATTTGAGATTGTCATCAAACTGACACTCGCAGAGGTACTGGAAAATAGTCATAACACGGCTTAAATTATCCCAGAAATGTTTCTCCATCACAGTAAACATGCTAAGCTCAACCACAGAGCTGATTCAGGGGCAGGAGTAGAAAGAACAGGTGCAGTTTATCCACCTTCCACCATCCTCTCCCCCTTTTACACAATCTGTTTAGAATAACCAATTTTAAAAAGATAAATTTTAAGTTATTTTAATATTACATAAATTTACAGGTTTAACACAATGACAAAAATCAAGTTATATTCAAAAGCACTGAGTCTGTTTGCACTAAAGTCTCCTAAATTGTCTCATGGTATAAAATTTTCAATGATTCTTTCTCTCATAAAGCTTTTAGATGAACACTGTTCTTGAAATGGCTGCCTGTTTTGAAAGCCTGAGACATATTCAGTTTTCAAGGGAAGAAGTCTCACGGATAGCTGCCTTGGGTGAATTCTCTTAATAAGAAGATATTCACATGACTAAATTGGAAGAACTGACTAATTTTTGTTGTACATTTTTGTATATGATTAGGGTAGAAAGTCAGATTTCTTCCCTGAGCCTCTCTGCCCAGGCAGATTATACATAAAGTTCCGATCACAGCCTCTTTGCCTTTGCCTATGTTATCTAGCCCAGAAGTCTCTCTTCTGTGAAGAGTATTTGTTTCCTTCATTACACTGGCCACCTTGCTAATAATTAGGACCAATACTCTGAAATGGGTGGGAAGAGAAAGGGAAATTCAAACCTGAAAAAATAAATCTACTTTGAGAAGACCTGTTTTAATCAAGTAGGTTTGGTTACATGAGAATTTTATTAAGTTCACAATTGCATGCCCCTAGTCATCTAGAAAACTAATTATCAAGTCACTAATTTACTAAATCAGTAAAAGATTAACCACAGTTTACAGTATTTGTTAGCAATGACTGTGAAGGCTGAAAACAATGAATAAAATTAATCTGAGGCAACTGCTTGCCCATTCTACTACCGTCCCTACAAGCAGAGATCATTAAACCTAGATATATTTGTGTACTGAAAAACAATCAAAAATAGTAATTTAAAGAATACACTCTTTTGTCAACAAAAAACAAAAAGAGAAAATCCACTATCCTTTTCCACTGAGAATAACAATTTCTACTTTCCAATTATTTTCCAATTCAACCAGGAGTCAAAAGAAATTTTTTTAATTAAAACGACTGTAAAAAATAATAAATTTATTACCTTTAAGAGTGCTAGTTTGCATTCAACACTCATTTCAAGATAGCCCTTCTTCTCCATCTCCCATGCCCAGGTGCTATTAAACTCTTGGCATATCTGTCAGAGAAAGTTAATATCTTAATATATAAAAGCGATTTTTATTTACATTGGTAGTTTTGTTGTACAATTATGTTAACTATTCTTGCTAATACATACATATAATAAAGGGAAAAGTTTATACCAAACACAATCCAATTCAATTCCACCCAAAAATGCACACTACCTAAATACATCAGAAATGTTTACTATTGTCTGATGACTGAATTTAAGCTAAGCAGTGATCTCTGTAGCTCTCTCCTCTGCTCTCAAGAATTTTATACACACTTTCGTGGCACATTTATGCAAATGGAAGTAATTACTTGATTCTGTCTCTCCAAATGGCCTAGAAGCTCCTTGAGGGCAAGGACAATAGTTTATCCATCTCTATGCTTAGAGTGTAAGTAGGTTCAAAAAACATGCCAGATTGTAGACATATTTTTAATTAAGCCACTCTCAAACTCAAGTTTTCCTATTTTTGGGTAAAAATTCCATCGCTTGGCATTTGAGACCTTCTATAACGTGGCATTAACTTAAATGTCTAGGCTTCTCCCTATACAAGCATTTCAGGCAAACCAGAGCCACTGTAACAGGCTAAGGAGAGAAGATTTGGATAACCCCTCTGCTCAATAATAAAAACTAATCAGGAGAAATGCCATGGTTCTGTGACCCCTGTGAGCCAGTTTCTTCAGCAATAAAAGGGGAGTAGTGATAATTCTGATCTTAAAGGTTATGAAATAGGCATGAAAAATGATATAAAGTGCCTAGCAATTTCATGTTCTTTTTTCAATCCAAGAAGCAAAGAATATAACGAAGGTCAAGGGAGAAGAACCAACACAAGGGACAAGATTTCCCTGGAGCTTGGGCAATTGGCTAGACAGGCAGACAGGAGAAAAATGAGGAGGTAAACGGGACTGCTTGCAAGTGGCCCTCTTAGGAGGGCTACCCCTTTCCTATCCTGCACCAGTGTCATCTTTCTTTTACCAGTTTGTCTAATGAAATCACAGGAGATCACTGTCAGGATAGAAAAAGAAGATAAAGCAAGCAGTATGGCCAGGAACTAAATAATGGGGAAATCTTCAAAGGCACAAAGGAAGAATGAGCTTTCCATTCTCTGGAATAACCATACTTCCTCTGAGTGATAGCACCATACTTTGTAGAGAAAAAAAAAACTGAGGTATGTAGAGGAAAAGGAAATTTTTGAAATATTACACAGGGAAGACTTGAAAGTGATTATATCAAAAGCTGAAAAGGTCAGGATCTGAATAGACATTTTGCCAAAGAATATATACAAATGGCCAATAAGCAAAGAAAAAGATGATCAATATCATTAGTCACTAGGGAAATGCAAATAAAAACAACAATGAAATGCTACTTCACACCCATTAAGATAGCTGTAATCAAAAAGAAGGGTAATAGCCAATGGTGAGAATGAGGAGAGACTGAAATGCACACAGACTGTTGATGGGAATATAAAATGGTGTAGCTGCTTTGTAAAAAACCTTGGCAATTACTCAAAATGTTAACACTGAGTTACATAAGACTAAGCAATTTCATTCCTAGGTATTTACACAAGAAAAATGAAAATATATGTCCACATAAAAACTTGTACAAATGTTCATAGTAGTATTATTTAGAATAGCCAAAAGGTGGAAACAACTCAAATATCCACCAACTGATAAATGAATAAATAATATGTGGACTATCTATACAATGGAATTTTTACAGCCATAAAAAGGAAGGAAGGAGCTGGCCCTGTGGCATAGTGGTGAAGTTCTTGTGCTGTGCTTTGCGGCCCGGGGTTTGCAGTTTCAGATCCCAGGCGTGGACCTAGTACTGCTTGTCAAGCCAGGCTGTGGCGGCATCCCACATAAAGTAGAGGAAGACTCACACAGATGTTAGCTCAGGGACAATCTTCCTCAAGCAAAACGAGGAACATTGGCAACAGATGTGAGCTTGGAGCAAATCTTCCTCACCAAAAAAAAGAAGAATGCAGTAGTGATACATTCTATAGTATAAACGAACATTAAAAGCATTAAGTGAAAAAAAAAAAGACACAACAGGTCACATATTGTATGATTCTATGTATCTGAAATGTCCACAATAGTCAAATCCATGTAGACTAAAAGTTAATTAGTAGTTGCCAGGGGGTAGAAGGAGGAATGGGGAGTGACTGCTAATAGGTAGGAGATTTCTTTGTGGAGTGATAAAAATGTTCAAGAATTAAGATAATGGTGATGGTTGCGCATCCTTATGAACATACTAAAAAACAGTGAATTGTATATTTTAAAAGGGTGATTTTATGGTATGTGAATAATATCTATTTTTAAAAAAGAGAGAGAGTCAATAATGCAGAGCACAGCTTACAACCTGAATGAGGCATTATTCTGTGCTCTGCTGTACACCACACCCCAGAAGATGAGGACGTTGGCTGGCTAACAGGCCAGACGCCGAGCGTGAGGAAGCTCCTCTGCAATATCTGACAGGGGTCGAGACTGATGGAGCCCCAAAGCTTGACCAACAACCCAGGTAACAAGGCACAGCCAAAGGCGCATGGCGTCAAAGATACCAATACAACCGGACACCTACTGATTATCATTTACTGTGTGTGAAAGAGGAGAAAAGAGAGAGGTGGATACAGAGATAATTAAGACAAAGATCTCCGCCTTCACACTGCTTAGGTTCAATTTACTGACATTCTTTATTTATAGTGGTTAGGATGCAAAACTTTTGTTGTGCTGATATTCAGAGATAAACATGTTACTCACTTTCTGTTTCTTTAAGGGCAATGTAGACATATTACCGTGGTGTTTGAGGCCCATCCCCAAAAAATAACATTAGATTTGCCTGAATAGCCATAATCTATTGTTACCACAAACTAAACACTGCAAATAAAACTTGCAAATGAAGAGTACTCTAAATGACACTTAAATAATTCTTAATTATTTAATATATAGTCCTTAAGCAGGACTATATATCTATACCAGGAGGCAGCAAACTTTTTCTGTTAAGGGCCAAACAGGAAATAATTTAGGCTTTGTAGACCATACGGTCTCTTTTTCAACTATTCAACTCTGCTGTTATAATGCAAAAGCAGCCACAGAAAATATATAAATGAGTGAGCTTGGCTATGTTCCAATACCACTTTATTTATGGATAAGGAAATTTGAATTTCATATAATTTTTGTACGTCAACAATTCTCCCAACCATTTAAACATGTAAAAACCATTCTAAGTTTTTGAGCCATACATACACAGGCAGCAGGCCAGATCTGGTCCCTTAGCTATAGCTTACGTACAGTGCCAGAAACCAGAGTGTCTATCAAAGACGATCTACAACAGTTATTCTTTGGGTCCTTGAAACAAGGGGATCCCTATTAGATTGGTAATTCATACTACCTCCCCAAGCTCAACTTGATTCTGACCAAGTAGCCTTGTAATTATAATTTGGTTTTGCATACAATTTCTCTTTAGAGAATGTTCCAACATCCAAAACATGAATATACTGGTATAACATTTGTATTTATCACCATAAGTTATCATTCCATAACACTGATTTTATGTTTGATTATTTCCAAATCTGGTCAGGAAAGGTGTCAGACAAGGGTGCATTTTATCTCTCTGTTTAATCTGTATGCAGAACATACTATATGAAAAACTGGGCTAGACTCAGATGAAGGAGGAGTGAAAATTGGTGCAAGAAATATCAACAATCTAAGATATGCAGATGACACAATCTTACTGGCAGAAAGCAGCAATGACTTGAAATGACTCCTGAGGAAAGTGAAAGAAGAAGTGCCAAAGGAGGACTGCATTTGAATACTAAGAAGACAAAAATCATGACTACAGAAGAACTATACAACTTGAATGTAGACAATGAGGACACTGAAATTGTGAAATATTTTGTTTACCTTGGTTCGGTCATCAATTTAAATAGAGACTGTAACCAAGAAATCAACAGAAGACTGAGAGTTCGAAGTGCAGCAATGAAAGAATTAGGGAAGATCAAGTGTAAGGAAGTGTCATTGGTGACTAATGCCAAGATTATCCACACTCTCATATTCCCAATTACCATGTATAGATGCAAAAGCTGGTCAGTGAAGAAGTCTGACAAGAAAAAATTGATTCATTTGAAATACAGTGTTGGAGGAGAGTTCTACAAATACCCTGGACTGCCAGAAAGATGAACAAGTGGGTCCTAGAGCAAATTAGGCCTGAACTATTGCTTGAGGAAAAAATGATAAAACTGAGGCTGCCCTACTTAGGGCACATCATGAGAAGGAAAGGTTCTTTGGAAAAGACAATAATGCTGGGAAAAGTAGAAGGCAGGAGGAAAAGAAGACCCAATGTGAGATGGATTGACTCCAGAAAGGAAGCCACAGGCATGAGTCTACAGAAATTGACTAGGGCTATTCAGGACAGGACTTTGTGGACATCACTCATTCACAGGGTCACCAGGAGTCGCTGACTTGACGCCAACAAGAAGGCAGGAGTGTCTCTCTCAAGGACCTGAAGCCACTTCTTCGATCTGTAATCAGAAGGATAGGGCCTCCCAGATTCTGTCGGAAAGTAGAAGTCTAACTTCCAAAGTTAGCAGGCACAGAAGGTCTACTCAAGTTGACTTTGCCAACCCTCATACCTGCTTTTTGTAATTTTTCATTTCCCACTTGCCATTTCATTTGTTTGACCCTCTTCCCACATTCCCCTCTCTCGGCTCCCTTATTCTGTCTTTGAAACACCAGTCACCTCTGGGCAAACTGGAATTGAGCTCAGCTCCTTCCACTACCACAGTAGTTACTGAATAAAATCTGTTTCTACTGCCTTTAACTAGTGCCTGGCTTTATCTTTGACAGAGGAGTCCTTGGATATCGTTCACATGGAGATCTTTATTTTACAGTTGAGAAACATGAAGTTTAAAGATGATTAAACTTTAAATCATCCATAATATAAAGTGATTCCAGGGGCCGGCCCTGTGGCCGAGTGGTTAAGTTCACGCGCTCTGCTTCAGTGGCCCAGGGTTT